GGAATCCTGAGATGAGATGATGATTTCCTGAACAACTTGGCTGTTGTGGTGATCGGTGTTTTTTTCCTCAGCACCCATCTACGAACTATTTATATCTGAGAGATACACTTTACTCAGCTTTAATCGTACCCTTTTCTTCCAGTGTAGCTGGGAGCGTAGCTGTTCCTGCTTCAGAATGGAGATAAAAGGAAACAAGTACCATAGCCATATCTGCAGATTAATTGTCACTAGCAGCAAGATGAACTGTTAAGCTAACCCCAAATTTGAATTGAACTTACTTGTAATTGAGAGGCTTCTAAGACGATTTTGTCCTCAAGGTTAGATTTGGGCAAGCCCAAGTTAGGAAACCATACCACACAAGATACGAATGTTAGTTGGGATTACTTAAGGAAAGTAAACTTTGACTCATGCTCCCTTGAGAGCTCTACTACTCTTCCACTTTAATGTGAAGATTCCCAGTTTTCAGGCATCACCACCAGCTCCTCAGCCTCCAGTCAAACTCTCTCAATTTTCTCAGACTTGTCTGTCCTCTCTTTTATTCCTGACCTTCTTTTCCAGTTGCTAGTATCTATTATAGGATCCCAGTTTTCACCTCTTCCTTCTTCTCTTCTCTTCTATTTTCCCCTGAATTGTGAACCTCCTTCCCCATGTGGATTTTGGGGATTGAGCTGCGATAACCTGTGTGAAGGTGCTTTGCTTGCAGCTCTGCTACAGTTTGCACCAGCTGCAGTGTCTGAACACAGACTGAATCTTTGCTTTCTTACGTATATTGTTAGTGCACAAAGCCAAGATTCCCCAATCCATTACTTCTTTCCTACATGTCTGATTTTATGGAAAAAGTTTAAATGTAAAACTTTGTTCTTTCATAACTTGATGGGTTAGACCAGAGGACGAGGAGGGCTTGAAGGACATCAGAATAAATGCTGTCTTGGACTTTAATTTCAGTAAAAAGTTTAATGGTTCTTTTGTGAGAATACCAGGCAGAAATGCATCACCTTAATTTTTTCCTGGGACTTGCTAGAAATGAATTGTTTTTAAAAGAGTCTTTTTATCACCTTCATGGACTGTCCTTTCTCAAGTTTTTATCATAGCTGCCTCTTTGCAGGAGTGATTATAATGGTCTATGAAACACTTCATGCAGAAAACTCACAGAAGAAATGCATTATTCAAACCCACTGACACTGTAGTTTTACAGCACAATGGTTACTGCTCTTGGAGCTGAGATTGTGGCTATCACATGCTTAGTCCAGTAATGCTTTTACTGGACCCCACAAATATTGCATCACTGCTGTTGATGCTTTAGAATTCTTTAATATGCTGAAGCAACGTAGTCCTTATCAATTCTTACGATTTTGTATCTAAATATACAAAATAACCTTGGTTTGTTAATCTGGAAATTGGTTTGTGAATCCATTCATCAAGCACGTGTCTGTGTTCTGTTTTCTGTTTGTGGTTTGGGGCTTTTTGTTTTACAGCCTACAGAAAACATCCCTAGCCTTGAAGTGGATATAATAATGTGATTGCAATAGAAGGTGAGAGGTGGTCAGCAGAAAATTTGTCCTGTTCCCAAAGTTAGGCCTAAATGTAGTAAAAATGGTTCAGTGAAATTAATCTTTCAGTATTGTTTGTAGCAGGGATCATTGCTCTGAGGAAAAATCTGTGTATCACAAAAAGTAGACATTTTTGATAGGGATGTGAAGATTCGTGTGAATGAGAGGTCTGAGTGTGGAAGCACCAGAAGGAACAGCAGAAGAGAGAGAGGAGTGGCTAATACTGATGGCACCTAGATTGGCAGATCATTGGGATTACAGCATATCTTTGTGCAGCTTCTTAGAGGACCAGATAGGGAAAACAAAGGACAGCCTAAAACAGGGGACTACATGTTCCTTTACTCAGACTAAAGTGAAGAATCAAGCCATTAAGAGATGATGGTGGGAATGTAAAGAACAGGGCTGGAGCCTTGAGACAAAAAGCAGGGAGTCAATACTGATGTCTGACAGAGGTGGGACAGGGTGGGAGACAAACCATTTCTGAATCACGGTTGGCTCCCCCGGGCACATCAGCACACGGCTGCCGACCTAGCCAGCATCCCTTGTCCCCAGTCATTCCTGGCTGGAGCACTGGAGTACCTGTGTTTGAACGGGGGACGCTGCTGGGACAAACACCTCTTGTGGGTATAAGCAAGTGGGCAGGATCCGTTTTGTGTTGCTCCGAACTCATCTTTTGCTGCTGTAAGCCCCTTCGCTGAGTTTGCTTTGTTGTTGCTGCAGTGTTACAATGTTTTTTGTAACTGAAAAGTACAGATAAGCACCGTTGATACCAAAGCATATGCAGCAGCGGATGGAAATATCAGGAGAGTGCCACCCGCTTTTTTTTTTTAAGAAAAAACATTTGCAAGTCAGATGGCAATTGCTGCAGGTAAGTTTTCTGTGACCTTTGTTCTTCTTGTGATTGTATGTGGGATGTTAGGAACACTGGGTTTGGCTGCTCACTTAACAAATGCGGGATGCTTTTGATGCAGTAGGTACAGTGTCTACTATTCCATACTGCTCGCTTCACTAATTCTACTGCTCGCTTCTGTAATTCTAAACAATGAACACTTGTTGCTTAGAAGTTAGGTAACTAGCAGGTGTTGTGTTTGCAGGTGTGTAGAATTGTAACTAGTATAAATCATGTATCGGAAGCATTGTTAGACTCTAGTGAAGAGTAACCTTGGAAAAGAGAACCATAAACAAACGTGGTCCAGACGTGGCTCGGAGACAAACCTCGACCTTATAAAGAAAGAAAGGAACAGGTTCACAAAGAGTTCAGTACCCCGCCGACCACCAGAGACCACCCGAGACCCTCAAGGAGACCCTAAAGGCTTTAGTGAGCATGTGTCTAGGATGATGTAATATTATAATTAGTTCTCAGAAATTTAATGAATATGTAAAAGAGAAAACATGTATGAGAAGCATGGATATAAACAGAAAGGTGATTAGACCAGGTGTGCTTGATTTGTGGCAAATCAACCGAGCACCCAGGCCTGAATAAAACAATCTCTCTCCTGAGCGTGTGGAATTGGTTACTTGCACGCCAGGCACGAATCCGCTTTTCGGACAACACTTTGGCAGTGAGCTTGATGATACTTCTTTCATTTTGTGAAGGACGTATGTGTCCTGCTATAGGTGATTTCCCCAGCACACACTCCTAACGCAGGAACCCTTCACCTGTGCTGTGTTTGTTTCTCATCGAGGAACCAGGAATATCCCTGGTTCATCACAGAAAAGCGCTGAATGCTGATGAGTTTCTGGGGCTGGTGGCTTTTGCTTTTATCTAAATAATGGAGAGCTTGCACTGTTCTCCCTGGTCCTTGCTTGTGTGTTTTTTAGAAAGTTTTGTTTATTTTCTCAGGTCTCTGTTCCTAAGTAGTACTTTTGCCTTCAGGTGTCTTGTAGTTAAACATGCCACTAGGTATTGGTCTCTTTACACTTTCCACTCTTTACACTTTCCAATATTTTACTTGAATATTTTCACAAGAAAAATAAAAGGTGAAGCCACTGGGCAAAGTTTTCTCCCATGCCACGTGCCTTATTGCAACATAGTTGAGGCAAAATGCCAAAGCTTTCTGCTGTTTCTTAAGGTGGCTCTGCAGGATCCCAGATGAGATCCCAGCATGCAGAGGCATAGCCCCGCAGGCTCTGATCTTTTGGTGTGTGCCCTGGGGACTGTGAAGGTGTCAGAGCATAGACGTGGGTGTAGATGTCCTTTATCTTGCTGTGTAAATGTCATGATAGTGTTCCCTGGTGATAGTGGCATATGTATGAATCATTCGCTGTGTTAAATGATGGATTGAACGATGAACTTTATGCTCATTTTTAATTAGATATTTTTTCTTCAGTGGCAGAACTCTTAAAGAGTTTTAGGGCTGGACTAGTAAAATACGATTTGAAGAAACTCCTGCTCCGGGGGATAGTTTCCGTCTCCAGACTGCAGTGTTTTGTGGTTTCTAGGGATTTGTGTATTTAGCTTGGCATATTGTGGAACATTCCTGTGCAACTGGCTGGGCGCTGAATTGGAGCAGTCTGTAAGGATGATTTCAAATCTTAGTAGGAGAAAGGTGAATCACGTTGGGTGTGCCCTGTGCCGGGTTTGCTAACCGTTTACGCTTGCTCCTGGGGAAGTGGACTGAGGGTGGTACCTGCTCCGTCAATAAAAGCAGATGTCTTTGCCTTTTAGGAGGCGTGTGTGTCTGAAGGAGTCCAGCCACTGACTGAGTCGAGTGCAGAAGGTTATTGACTGGCCTTGTCAGCAGAAGACACGGTTTTGCACCAGCCTGCTCTAAGTATAAACTTCTCTTTCTTTGCCCTTGTTGATACGCTTGCTTATAAGAAGGAAAAAGGGGCTGTGAGGGTAAAACGAATCTAAGTCATTTGTTTGTTTCCATCTTGTATGGAAAATGCTGGTGACAGTGTGCTCCCAGTTCCAAGCCCTGAGCTTGGCGACTGGGGAAGTCTTTTCTTTTAACATATGGGGTGTCATGGAAAGAGGTCTTTCTTACCTTTGTATTTCTTACTTGCACGTTGGTTCAAGCTTGTAAAAGTTTAGGGTCAGTACTCACCCTGTGTGATCGAGGCAAAAGAGTGAGTTTAAGTGGTGGGGTTTTTTTCCTTCCAGGATTTTTTTTCTCCTTAAAGTAGTATATTTTCCCTCTTCAGTTTCTCTAGAGTGGGAGCCGTACACCCTGCTGGGGCTGACTTCCCACACCAGGGCTTGCTGCCAGCAGGCAGGGGGGTCCGGCAGGTCGCAGGGAGCTGTGGGTTGCTTAGGCAATGAGGGGGCTTTTCAGACATTTTCTTGATCTGGCAATATTGCTAAAGGATGCAAGCAGAGGCCATGTGATGGCATGTTATAAAGATATTTTTCCACTTCATAAAGTCTAAACCAGCCCCCATGAGCAGCCCAGCACAGTTGGGCATCTCTTTGACAGGCGCTCTTTGGCCATGCTGTTTGTTGTGCAGGATGGTGACTGCCAAGGCATGGGTTCTGAAGAAGCATTTTGAGGGTTTCCCCAAAACCAGTGACTTCGACCTGAAAAAGATAGAGCTACCAAACCTAAAGGATGGAGGTAAGTGGAGTGCCACCTGTTTTTATTTTTTCCAGAGGTTGTCTGGTTGCTGATGAATGGCTGTGCATCTGTAGAACTGTTTGTACATTTCTCTGGTTTGGATTTTTGAAAATCGGTTGTCATGGCTTATGGTAAGCCATGCACCTTAGCAGAGAAGGGCAATTGCTCCAGAACAGGTATGCTGATGTGTTTGGGGGGTTTTAAGACATGCTGCCTTCTGATAATCCCCTTAAAAACAGTGACTGAGCTCTTCTAACTCCAGCACGCAGCGGCTGCGGCATGCCTTTCATAGTCTCACACTGCTTAGTCACATGTGGTGTCTGATGGCAAAGGCATTCGAATGTGTTTGCAAATGAAGCTTACTGGAGAAAATTGCTGAAGTGATATGCCCTCCAAACTGACAGCCACAAGGAAACAGAATTCATTTAACTTAGAAAGAGAGAACTGAACCATGACACAGAGCAAATGAGGTAACTGTAGTAAAACCCAAACATGCTTTACTGGTGAAAGGTTTTAATCTACTTTATTTTGCAAAATCCTTCGGAGAAAGCTGGAGAGGACGGCAGCCTCTGGGAGGAGGTTTTCAGTGGAATTTTTCATGCTGATAGGGAAGGTATTGTGGATAGTGCTGGAGCAAAGCAGAGTGACTGGGGTGGGAGTGAGCCTGCAGCTGGGAGGCCTTGGGGCTGGAGTCAATGCAGGCTGGTCTTTCATTTTAAGAAGCAACAAGGCAAGACTTCTGTCTGCATTCAACATCTATTTTTTTGCCCGTGCTTATCTGTTATATTTGCCCTGTTGTGACAGCAAGAGAGAATGAATAAAAAGAGAAAAAAATGCACAGGTTTTATTCCTGTGTTTCTCTATTTTGAAAAGGGTAGGGAATATGTTAACTTATTTTGTGCAAGAGCTGTTGATAAATGAATGAATCTTCATTTTTGGACATTTGTACTATGCTGTCTTGAACCTCACCCTACCACTTGTCCTTTACAAAATTTACTCCAGTTTAGAAGGTCTGCCAAAGAAATTCATTAAAGTACTAGTTATGTTTACAACTTAAAGGTTTGAAAGGTGATTTCTTCTTACATATGCTTTCAAGCATTTTCATAGCATGTGTACTTCTATAGCATTCAGACACGCTTTAAAATTTAATGCCCGTGGGTATTTAAGAACATGGAGTCATGCCTTCCTTCCCATTTTAAGTCCTACAGCAAGAAGAGGTGTAACTTCATACTAGAGTAACACTTTTAAAGGAGATGTCCTTTCTTGTTATGTTACATGGCCTTAACTATTCTTCCTGTTCACTCTGAGTAATGGGAAAATATGTATGTCTGAATGTATTTCTGGCTTGTACTAGCTAGACCACTGCAGCACAGGCAATGAGAAGTATTATGAGGTGGACATGAACAGCTAAAACTGCTGTGTGAATGAGAATTTAAATTAAAATTTGTTTAACAGTATATTTCACAAGAACTAGTAGCATTAGAGACAATAAGGTGGATTAGGCTACCTAGAAAAGATAGCCTAATGCTTTCTGTTGAAGGCAGCAAAGTAGTGTGTATGTTTGACCTGTGCCGAGGTTTCTTACCACCCTCTGCTGGTTGAATCATGGGAGGGCATTTTATATCTGGGTCAAAAGTAAATTAGTGTTTTGCTTAGCAGGCCTGACCTCTTGAGCCTTCTATCGAGAGAGGAGGCAGATAAAAAAAAACAGGGTTGAAAAGAAACTAGCCTGCTAAAGAGACACTACAGAAAGTGTCTTTTGTAACAGCACTGTGATAATCCAGACAAAGCTAATGAATGTAGTAGTCGTTTCTGGTAGTTTTTCTCTACAGGATGATGGGATATGGGGGTTTTGAGCTGTCAGGAGTTCCTATAGCTTTTGTTGAAAGACTGACTTGTGGAAACTATGCTTTACTGCACTGCTAATGCCCAGGAATTTGTTTTGTCTTTTGTTGCAGAGTTGCTGCTTGAATCAGTGTTTCTCAGTGTTGATCCTTACATGAGGTATATCTTTTTCTTCTTTTTAAAATGCTGGCTAAGATACCTCATTTGTTCTCCCACTTAAACCTCAAAAGAACATGTACTGGGAACATCCCCTGATGCCGGAGTCCCAGATACCTTTGTCTGCTTTTTATAAAATGTGTATAAATGACAAGGCTCACAATATTGAGCTGTGCCAGATTTAGCCAGACATTAGGATAACGATGCTGCAGCCCTAGACTTTTCTTGGACTTTGCTATTGTTCCTTGTCATGTCTCTTCCACTGGAATGTAATGGGCTCAAATGAGACTGCAGCCCTGTTGAAGTAGCTGCTTCACTTATCTTAGCAACCTTGTACTTAAGGATACATATTCTAAGTAGGAAATTGCTGATATGCCCATGTTAATCGCATATGGTGCTAGTCCAAGCACAGGGAGACTGGGTAGTTTGAAGAAGTCTGGTGGACACTAGTGTCAGTGATAGTTCTCTGAAGTCTCAACCTTCTTGTAGTGGTGGACCATGCTGGGAAGATTAATGCTATTGTGTCCCCAACACTCCAGCCCAGTATTCAGTTAAGATAGGATGCTCAATCAGCTGGCCATGGAAAACATCCAGTTATGACATTACAACGACAAGCTCTTTGCGATCTGTTCAACATCACTGCTTATGCTCTCCTTCTGGGTCAGACAGTAGCTACTGCTTCATAGCATATCTGGAACATCATTCAAGTTGCTTACAGTAAGCCATCTCTCTGCTTGTGTTACAGACCTTACAGTCAAAGGGATATGAAGGAAGGAGACATAATGATAGGCACACAGGTTGCCAGGTAAGATCTTCAGTTCTTGTTATCCATACACATGGCAGATCTTGAAGGAATGTACTGACATTCGAGACATCTGCAGCCTGCATTACCTATTCTGGATGTGAGTCTACGTGCTTCTGCAACTGTATTCTTATCTGTAATTGGTTGGAATGTGTTTTTCCTCTAAGAACCTCTTTTGCCTTCTTAGAGAGCATTTAGGTCTCTGATACAATCTACATGTTATTTCCGGCGATAATGTTTTCAAAGGAAATTTTTACAGGCAGAGGTATGAAGGACCGACCATTGTACTTGCCATAAGTGTTAACTTTACATTTTAAAATCTGCTGTGCCAGTAATTGCATGCCCGAAACCATGCATGCTATTTACTCCAGCTGAGTCAGCATCACCTAAGATACAGCTCTAGCCAAAGGGTTATCTAACCTTAAATCCATCCTCTCCCAAGCATGTGGTAATTTAGCTACACAGATGTTTCCCTTTGTCAGCTTGTTCCTGCTGTGCTGCCTCTAAGTTACTGCCCAGGAACATCTGTGGCCTTTGACTCCTGTGTTTCTCTGCAGGAACACTGAGGAGACAACCAAGTCTGCTGAACAGAAGGCCAACTGTTTCCAATATTTCAAAGCTGCTTACCTACCCCTTCCCAACGTAGTTTTCCCGTTGAGTTAAGAAAGTTGAATTTTCATTTGGCATAGAGACACCGCAAGTATGAACTTCTCCCTGTTATTAGATACTGCTTTCTATCTGGTTTTGTTACCCAAGAGGTTCCATCTTAAGGATCTTCAACCTTTAAAGGAGGTGCAGATTGTCTGAGAAGGGAACTGCTTGTTACAGCCTATCTGTGACTTCTTGCTTCTCCACCCTTTAATCCCGGCATCATCTTTCCTGCCTTCTAACTCACAGAAGCCTAGTCCGAATTCATTCTGCTAGTCAAAAAAAAGTCGGCATCCATGTGGGAACATTGGAGTTGTTGTGGGCAGGACTGAGTCTAGAATCATCTTGTCCAGTATCCCCCTGTTGTTGAGAGATTGTAGACCTTTCAGGAAAGACATCAGAAGCCTACAGCATCAGCAGGTGTGGGCTAAATGTCCTGACGTGAAATATTTCTTTTCTCCTGCATCACAGGGCAACAGGAATAAAGGAGAGAAGAGCCAGTAATGATTTGTCTCTGACAGGGTATTCTTTTTTTTTTTTTTTTCCTTCTTTTAAACAGGATTATAGAAAGCAAGAATCCTGCTTTCACAGTGGGGGCCTTTGTCGTGGCTAGAAGTGGCTGGAGAACTCATGCAATCTCTGACGGGAAAGACCTACAACGCCTTCCTTCCAGTTGGCCAGAATCACTCCCCAAATCTCTGGCTCTTGGGACGGTTGGCATGCCAGGGTGAGTTTCAAGATCCAAAGGCAGCTATCCCCTGGATTTTGCTGTGCAGGATGTTTCTGCCTCTCTGTAGGACCTTTTTCCCTCATCTTGTTCTACCAATATGTTGTCTGTTCACTCTGGTAAAAAACATGTGTGCTTCCGGATGCCCTTACCCTGTAGAGGGCCTGAAGTTTGGCCCATCCTCTAGATCAGAGGAGATTTGCATTGGAGATCATGGTGTCTCTCTTTAAGGAATTGTAATAAGGTAGGAAGAGGATCCAGGAGGGGCTGCAAAGAATCCAGTTCAATCTGAATTAACCTCAGTGGAAAGATTCAAATTTCACTGGCACCTGGACTAGTCTGCTTTTGCTGATTGGGCTCTTCTGCTATCACCATGTTTCCAGAAATGTCCCCAAAATGGCAGAAGACAGCTGTCATATTGTGCAGCAAAATAGAGGTCCTTTAAATTGCACTGCAGCAGACAGAGCTGCTGTGCTTTGAAATCCATATTCACTACTGCAGTCTCTCAGTCATCTTCTCACATTTCTTCTCTCTGTCTCTGTAGTTTGTATGGGAAATCAGGACTTGGTCAGTCCTGTTGACACAGAAGGCTTTCAAATGATTGTAACATTGTGTGTGATGCAGAACTCAGATTTCATTTTGACATCAGGCAAGATGTATGTTTTTCCAGACAGCTACTAGGTAGATTCAGCTCACCCTTTCAGTTCATACCCAGTGGGAAGCTCTAAGCTTGAATTTAGAAGAAAAGTTTGTTGGGGTTCTGGGCCAGTTGATTATGCTGCTTCAGGAAGCTTGCAGAGCCTGATGTCATTCAGTATTTATATGATCAGTGGAATGTGCTTGAGCTAAACTTTAGTGGTTCCTACAGATCACTATTCACCCAGTAGCCATAGCTCTGCACAGTAGTCCTTAGGAGCAGTGTGCCCATGAGTTCAGCAAGGTTTTGCCACCACTTTCTGCCAGCTTTGATTTGTGATTAGTATCATTTAATCTTTGCCTCAATCTGGTAGATACCAGCTGTCTACTGACCTCTGTCGAGCTTGGATTTACTCTCTCTTCCAGTGTGTTACTGAGTTGGCACCTTACAGAGTTATCTCTGTGTTTCTCCTTTCGGCTAGTGAAAGCTAACTGTTTTCACACAAGGAAAGCACAAGGAAAGCTGTTTTCACCTAAGGCAGACTTCTGCCACAGCATCCTGTTTCCCAGTACTGCATCTGTTTTTTTCTGGGATGGCTGTAAGACGTTTGTGTTCATTTTTGTATTTCATAAAGAATGAGGAAAACTGAATCTTGTTCTGGTTGTGGCGATATTTTGGTTCAATGTGATCAAGTCACATATCTGTGTCTGGCATCTTTTATTCCTTACTGAGCATTCTTTCTTTTTCTTCACAGCCTCACTGCGTATTTTGGTCTGCTGGAGGTCTGCAAGGTGAAGCCAGGAGAGACGGTGCTGGTTAATGCTGCAGCTGGCGCTGTGGGCTCTGTGGTGGGGCAGCTCGCTAAAATTGGGGTGAGTGACTTGAACTGCTCATCTTTGCTCCTCAGAAGGGTCAGCTGGGAGACAGAGGAACAAGGCTATGAATGATCAGGAGGGCAAGCATCCCTGAAGGGGATCCCTTATGCCTACATAAGGTCTTGAGATGGGACAAGCTGCTGCAGATGTAGCAAAGCTAGTTGAATGTTTCTTAGAGCTCAGGAACTCGTATGGTGATGACAGCCTGACTTTAAGGATGAGCCCTCCACCCAGCTCTCTGTGAGTGTTGTGCGGGGATGATTAGAAATGTTTTTCTCCTTTCCTTGCAGGGTTGCAAAGTGGTTGGCTCTGCTGGCTCAGATGACAAGGTTGCCTATCTGAAAAAAATAGGCTTTGATGAAGCCTTTAATTACAAGACTGTTACATCTTTGGATGAAGCACTGCGTAAGGCCTCTCCTGATGGCTACGACTGTTTCTTTGACAATGTGAGTTCAGAGAGAGGGCCTTACCCTGAGCAGACTGTCATTTTCCTTAAACTATAGCAGGAACTCAATATTGTATACATCTAATCGAAGACTACACCAGGAATTCAATATTGAGTTCCATCTAAGAAATGGTCTTTGTAAGAGAGACTGCTTTCCTGTTCCCTTCCCACACTTATTTCTGCGACTGATTTGGGCAGTAATGGAAAGAACAAAGACTGAAAGGCAAAGCTGGATTGTTGGCGTTGTTTGTGAATGGAGAGAGAGAAGCTTTCACTCTTTGGAAAGCATGGCACATGTTGGAGAGGTGAGGGTCACAGTGAACATCTAACTGATGCTGAACAGAGAGAGCTCCAGTCCATTCCTGGCCCCATCGGCAGTTCTCTGCTGTTGCTGGAAGGAGAGTGAGCGTGGATGGCCCCACATTACGTGGTCCAGGTGGCTACACCAGTACCTGTAAACAAAACAGTTGCAAGGCCCACTTGTAAAATTGCTGGCCTATAGAGGGTTTCCGACTTCTCCCAGGTACAGCTGGAGTTAAGAGGGGCTGTGGACTGTTCTCAGTAGGCTGTTTGAATGTGACCATCTTGTTTTGGAGGCTAAGAGAGTTTAACGGTACGGATGCAGTCAAACCATGTCAGTTCGCCTTCAAGCCAGAGAACAAGCTCTGGCTTTTTTAATTTCTTAGTATAGCTAATGTATGCATTATACCTGATAACATAATACCTGGCACATGGGTATTAGCTGAGATACTGGCCTAAAACTCTCTGGCTAGCCACCTGTTTTAAAGGGCAGCCATCATCACCCCTTCAACATGTCTTTCTCTCAGCACTGTCTGCTGATCCAGGAATGATGGCGCTGTCTGTGGATTGCAACGCACCCGCCTCCCCCTGGCAATCGATGTGAATGCATCAGGGCAAAGGGCAAAGTGCTTGCCCCTGTAGCAGGAGCTCGTGGGTACCTTGCCTCACCCTTCCAAATTTCACGGCCTGTGCTGCTAAGGTCTTAAACAGGTTTTATGGTCACGTCTGTTCCCCTTCCTCTCACTTCCAACTTTTGTGCAGAGCTCTCCCCAGCAGTAAAATTCCTTACAGCTTTTCTCCGTTAAAAGCTTTTGAGTACAGGCCTCCCTGTTTGGGAGAAGAGAATCCTTAAGTAAAAACTTATCATCATAAAGTGAAGAGGTGAAAGTGCAGACTCGTGTAGGGGG